CTTCGGCAAACGATCTAGTCCCTAAAAATGACATTGCTAAAACGTTCCATGAGTTGCCTTCTATGACTATTCAAACGTCCCAACACTCGTCCCTTCACATCCAATGATAGGGATTCTTACCAAATCAATGGTAAGATAGCAACATCTAAAGGAGGAGGAAAAGCACATCTAAGACATTTTGAGTAGGTAGATTACTTTTAGTTGCTTGCTCAATTTCAAAACAAACATCCTTGCTATTTTAAAAAACAATCACATACACTTTCAAAACACTTTCGAAACACTTTCCAAACGTGAAATATTTTCAAAAGCTCAACACTTTGTATACGTTCTTATGAACGAGAACTATTACAAAGTTTGCCTAAACGATGACACCTTTTCAAAATACTTTCAAAAAACACGCAAAGCACATTTTTCAAATAAAAGCAAGTGATCTAGCAAACAACTAAGAGCCCATGGAAAACCATGGATGGAAAGGGTTCTAATACCTTCCCTTTTCATAATCTACCCCACGAACTCAAAAAACATCTCTAAAGATCTTTCCTGTGCTTTTTTCACCTTTCCTTTTTTTGGATAAAAGAAAAGTCGGTGGCGACTCTTGCTAACCGCAACATTTGCGATCAAACGTAAAACACCTCAAGTCAGTTCTCCCACCATATCACAGTAGGTATCAAGGCTCTAATGCTTCAAGAGGCAATGCCAGGCTATGTACATATTGTAACAGGACGAATCACACGATTGAAACTTTCTTCCTTAAGCATGGATTTCCACCAGGTTCTCAAGCCAAGGGAAAAAGTCAAGGAAATGCTCAGTCTTCTTCACATGCTGCATTTGTTTACAATGCCTCTGAAGCTTCTCCTGCGAGCTCAACTTCAGCCTCGTTTGGTTTCACTAAAGAGCAATATGAAAACATCCTAGCACTGCTTCATCAATCCAAACCCAATCCTGCAGTCAATTCCGTATCTAACTCGCCTTTTGTCATAAATTCTCACTCAACTAATGTTGATGGTAAGAATCCCTATCTTTGGATACTTGACACTGGTGCCACTGGCCATTTTCATTTCAACTTTTCCTCTTTTACTGATCATAAATCTATAATTCCTATACCTGTCAATCTGCCTGATGGTTCACAAGTTTTGGCCTCTATATCTAGAACTATTATCATATCCCCTTCCCTAACCATACACAATGTTCTATATGTGCCTAGCTTTCATGTTAACTTAATCTCTGTGGCAAAATTTACTGATCATAATCAATGCTTTATCCATTTCAATGCTAATGCTTGCCACATCATGCAGAATCATTCGAAGAAAATGATTGGTATAGCTAACTTACACAGAGGGCTCTATGTGCTTGATTCTTCCCCTCCTCATTCTTCTGCAAATAAATCTACCACACACACCTCATGTAATCTGTGGCATTTGCGCTTAGGCCATATATCCAACAAAGGATTACAATATGTCTCTAAACTTTTTCCTTTTATTACATGTAATAATGACAATGTACCTTGTGATTCTTGCCATTTTGCTAAACAAAGAAAATTACCCTTTCCTAATAGCATTTATATGTCTTCTTCACCATTTAATATTTTACATACTGACTTATGGGGACCTTTTTCCATTATCTCTACTTTAGGCCATAAATACTTCCTAATTCTTGTCGATGATTACTCAAGGCATACTTGGGTTATTTTTCTTAAGACTAAATACCAAACTAAACCAAGTCTTATCAATTTTATAACCTATATTGAAAACCATTTCTAAACAACCCTTAAATGTCTAAGATCTGACAATGGCACAGAGTTCATAGCTTTATCCACTTTTCTTCTTTCTAAAGGAATAACTCACCAAAATACCTGTGTTGAGACACCCCAACAAAATGGGGTGGTAGAAAGAAAACATCAGCATATACTCAATATAGCTAGATCCATCTTTTTCCATTCCAATGTTCCCTTAAACCTATGGAACTTTTCCATTCAACATGCTGTACACATTATTAATAGATTGCCTACTCCCCTCCTTCATTCAAAATCTCCATATGAACTTTTATTCAAACAGCCACTATCCCTAATCCATTTAAAAGTGTTTGGTTATTTGTCTTATGCCACATCTCTTCAGGCACACAGAACAAAATTTGCTCCTAGAGCCAGAAAAGTCATTTTTCTTGGATACCAAGAAGGTACAAAAGGTTACATTCTTTACAACATTGAAAATCACAATATATTCATATCAAGAAATGTCATATTTTATGAAAATGTTTTTCCTTTTAATATAAAAAACAATCCTTCTCAAAACCATACACTATCAATTTCCCAACTTGATGATTTTTCCTCTGAGATTTCCCCTTCCATTCCTAGTCAGCAAGCCAGTACCACTGATATATCTCTTTCATCTGACATAAGTATATCCCAGATTGACAGTGATGTTACTTCTCCTCATCCTGTGCAACTTCACAGTCCTGGCTCTGCCTTACCTTTTTCCACTGATATGACTATACACAAATCATTGTACTCCACTTCAGTCACAATATTCCCACCAATTCTAACTTGTTCATTGCATACACAACCGTTAACCAATGCAAAAAAATTTCTGTAACATCATAAATACCACAATGAATTAGTTGACTGGTACAGGTGACAGGTTTAACATCTACTACCTTTGTATTCCAATACAACCAAACCCTTCCGTTTGTAGGATTTGTACTGATTCCGGGCTTGACGCTCTTTTACCTTTCACGTGTTGTTCATCTTCAACCTGTGAATTTTTGTCGTCTGAATTTCCCTCTTTTCCTGAATTATTGATCGCATGTTGTTTCTCCTGATTGACAAGCTTTCTCTTTCAATAAAAAAAAACCTATTTCTAAAAAATTGGTTGAAAATGATTTTATAGATGATATATTTTATTTTAAAACTAATCTATATGTAAGTATCATACTATCCAAAATTTACAACAAAAAAAAATTATTGGTAATATAATTTATTGATAATTTTATAATATATTTTAGATCATCCAAAATTATTTATTGCTAATATAATTATGAATGTATATAATTTTTTTATATTTTAAAAATAACAGTTAATATAATTATCTATTAAAATATAATAATATATTAATCCATATAGTACTAATATTTTTATAAATTTATTTAATTGATATTATAATTATGTTATTTAAAAATTGAAAATACTATTATAAAACTTTTTCTTTCGATCATCATTATTTTGAGAAGGTATCAATTAATATATTTTAATATAAAACATTTATAATAGACATATAATTATATGAATTGTTTTTTTATACAAAAGCTAAATATTTTCAATCGATTATCATTATTTTAAAGAGACAAAAATGTACTATTTTTTACTAAAATATAACATAAATTTTTTTTGGAAACAATTACATTTTTTTATAAAAATATCTAAAATAATTATAAGATAATTAAAATCATATACATTTAGTTTTTATCTTAAAATAAACTAATATAATAAAATATTACTCATTAACAATATTTAATAATATTAATAATTACATTTTGAAAATAATATTAACCAAAAGAAAAGACTTTTATGAATACTACTTTATGTTAAATAATTAATATATAACTATATTAATGTTTACCATTAATATATTATTATATTAATAATTTGTTGATTAATATTTATTATATTAATATTTTTATTCATACAAAAAAATTTATTATTATTTTTTTAAATACAACTAAATTATATATTTATAATTATATTAAGAATAAATATTATTTGGATAGATACATAATTACATATAATTGTTATATAGTATGAAAATACACGTAGGAATATTAGTTAATAAATAAAATATATCATCTTTGAATTATTTCAACCCATTATAATTATTTTAAAAGATAAAATGTTATAAATTTTTTATGGAAATACAACGTGAATTAATTTTGGAAAAAATTCTACAAATTATAAATAAAAAAGATTAATGAAAGAGAAACAATCTATTTTATTATTTTTAATGAATTGAATTTTAATAATTAAAATTAAATGTTCTTATTTCTAACAATAATTAACTGTTCTCCCTTAATTTATATATATATATATATATATATATATATATATATATATATATATATATATATATATATATATATATATATATATATATATATATATATATATATATATATATATATATATATATATATATATATATATATATATATATATATATAGGTCAATTTATTCTAAGAGTAGTTTTTTTAACTCTAAATCACAATTTTTAAATTACATTTAATCGAATGGAAAATTAAGTTAAAATGCTAATTATAAAATATTAATGATTAAATTAGATTCAATTTAAAATCTATAATTTAGAATAAGTTAAACATTTTATTCTCGGAGTAGATTGGTCATCAAAATTTACTCTTGCTAGTGACATACTGTTTTTTAAATATTCAATGTTTTTGTCTAAAGGGTTACTTAAATATTTTAGTATTTTATTCTAAGAATGTTTGACCAATAACATTTACATACTTATTTTTTAATATTAGCTAATAGAAATATTACATATTTAAATATTTTAGTTCAAGTATTCTCAAAAATATTGTGCGACGAAAACATAAGAGGTGTGAAGGATGCATTTTTTCCAAATATATTTTTTATTAACTCATTGATTTTAATATTAATATAAGGTTTATTGTTATTTTCACTAAATTATATAGAGGGACTAAATGGGAAGAGAGTACAACAAGGGGCTTAATGCATGCAAAATATGTACCTTGTCACCAGCAAAACAAACTAAACATATAAATAACCCGTAAAAAAACCAATCACTCTAATAGAGAGACAGAAATAAAGAGCCCGTTAACCAAATTTTTAAATTAAATATTGATAACTAGTATAACGCCCTAGTGTTATATTTAGTGTTTTATTTATAAATGAATTTTTGGTAACCAATTTAATTTAGTCTTATTATAATAAACTGTCTCCAAGACATGAACGAATATTAAGATACATTTTTAGTTCATGGATTGTAGGCAACACAAAGATAATTAGATCCTGTATTATCAAACCTACAAGCTTCATTCTCTTCTAGGGTCCATTTGATAAATTGACCTGCGTTACTGTCCCTTCCTTGTGACCACAAATCAAACCATTTGAGATTGGAACCAATCCATTTAACACTACAATAATACTTGCTCGATTTACCAATTATTCTTGGCTTGAAAGAATATATGAACTGCCCGCCAGGAAAGAGTATGTACTCGCCTAGATCATCACCATATCTTTCATAGCAATGAAGGTATAATTCTCTTTTATTAGATAAACGATTGGTGACCTCTAAATGTACTTGTTTGGGAAAGATCAGAGCTTCAGATACAACTACTAGCAATAATACAAGTGATATAGGAACAACAATTTTCATCAACGTTAGAGACATGTTGATGAATATAATGTGTGTCTAAGCATTACCTACATCTCTTTTTATATAGCCCATTCTTCTTTTCTTTACACGTATATTCCTAAAGTATCCCTTCCATATGGATGTGTCAAATTTTATTTTAGAACATTGAAATAAGTTTTTTTTTACCAAGAATATTGAAATAAGTTATTATATTACTAAAGGCATGTTTGGAAGAAAAAAAGTTTAGCCAATTGAAATGTGATATTCATTTATAGAAAATTGAGTCATTGTTGGTTTGTTAACGCTGCAATTGTAGTAATATTGTGCCAACAAAAATCTTCAGATATCAAATCCTAACACAATTTTTTCTGAAAGTGTATTCTAATAATTTGTGCTTTAATGCTCCTGCACGTGTATTCCGGTTTAGTGAAAGTTCTAGGAACTTTGCTTCGAAATTTCATAGGAATCAGCCTATGTTTCACATGTGAGTGCAACTTAACCATTAGATATTTTGTATGATGTCAAAACTAGGAGAACTTAACATTTCTGTATATTGGGAGGTATCTTTGAGTTTGTGCGGTTCCCTATACATTTAGAGGTCTTAAGAATTGATCTTACCGGCTGATCGGAACCTACAAGGTAGCCGGATGATGTTCTTCTGTCGAGCTGGAACGTCGAGGAGGAAAAAATGGAGTTGTATCTGCAAGACACTCCGACGATCAAGTAAGAGTGAGAGCAGAGAGATACAAGCAAAGTGTTAGAGTTTTAGTGATGAATAGTGGATAATCGATACATGGCCCTCACATACGTGAGGGTTTATATAGTGCCCCTGACGCTTGGCCATTGGTTTCTATTTTTGGGCCTAGATATGTGAGTCCATAAAAATAGGTAACTTCCAGGACTTGCTCAAATCGGGCAGTTGTTTGCAACTAGCCGTTGGTTCCGAGGAGGAGGTAGGTTACGAGCAACGGTCTGATTGGTTCCTGGTTGTCTAGCCGACTCGAGGTCGAGAGACTGAGAGGCACTCATCGGGTGTCGTAGGTCAGTGCTGGTCCAGGAGGACAAACAAACGATGATGCCCGATGGAGGGCGAGGAGGCATGGGCCACGGTCGCACAGGCCGAGCCGAAGGAGGAGGTCAGGCTGGACCCACTCTAGTTGCCGGGCCAGTCCAGAACAATAGCCCCAAAGTCATTGCCTCTGGATAGAGGAGTGGTGACTTTAACACCTGCTTGTGGGATGGGGCGCTTCTTACGGGGAGCGTGAGTGTCGCTCGTTGTGCCTTTCTCGCGGGAGATGATGAGTTGGTCGTTTTAAGCTTCAAAAATTGAAGAGGTAGTGTGTTTCGGGTAGTGCAACGATGAAGCGGCGCAATGATAGTCTAGGGACTAGGTGCAACGCTGAAGATCTTATGGTTCCCTAGGCGTGTGTCTCTGACGCGCGAGCGATCTTAGCTATAAATATGAGAGGAGTAGGGAATTTTGTACTTTTCATTCTTCACTCGCATTGCTCGTTACTGCTCGCATGTCGATCGTCGTTTTTTATTGAAGATTAATTGCTCGCCACCGTTCCTTTCAGCTTCTTTTCTTCTTTAATTGGTAAGATTTCATATTTTTGTTGTTATTTGGCTCTTGTAGCTTGGATTTTCATGATTTTCGCCTTAGAAATGCATGCGGTTATGCTTAGGATCCTGTCTGTTAGGGCGTTTTTAGGTGAGTGTTGGTAGAGGATGGTGGTTCTTTAGTTTAGAAACGTCGGAGCCGTTGTGAGTTTTCCCTGGATTTTTGCGATGCATCATAGATGATCCTTGAGGATTTAGGTCGTTTTCGTTGACTGGAGATTGTCTTGTTGAAAAAAGTGTTTGTTCATTCAGATACCTTAATGAGGGTTCTAGTCGGGGACATGATCCTCGTTTATCATCAATCTTTCACTTGATTAGTAGTAGAAGGGTGGTTTTGGTGTTAATGTTGAACTCACATCTATCCTCTATTTTTCAGGTATTATGGCCGACAATGTTGGAGACGATCTTTCGGATGGACGGACTGGATCCTCCCAGAGCTTTACGGATGACACTTGTAGTATGTCGAGCATTCTGGGGGTGTCCGGGGATGAGTCGAACCGGTCTGATCAGCACGTAGGGGGAGAGGACTTGGAGATGGCGCCCGTTGATCATGGTGGCCTGTTTTCTCATGAGGATGAAGAAGACCCGCAGACCTGGATCACGAAAGACCCTTGGGATTGGGTTTCCTACTTCTTCAAGCACAACGATGAGGTTTCCACTGAAGTGTATGCGTACGATAATGGAGGCTGGGGGGAATGGTCATTTAGGATCCTTGGAAAAGATAGTCGATCCCTATGTACGACATTTTGTTTTGGGAGATGGGCCTTCGACTCCCCTTCTCGGATTTTTAGGTGGCCGTTTTTCGGCATCTTCGACTGGCTCCTTCTCAGTTTCATCTAAATAGGGTCTCTTTTATGCAAGCATTCGAGATTGTCTGTGATTACTTGAATATAAGGGCCCCCATTCCTTTATTCTTCTACTGTTTCCATCTCCAGAGGAGCAAGGTTGATGGCAAGTGGGGATGGGTTACCTTGAAACAACACAGCGGGAAGTTGTTCAAAGCTTACCTGGAGTCGGTACGACACTTCAAGGACAAGTATGTTCTTATGCAGCCTCTTTTGAGCAGGGCGATGCTGGACATTTTTTGGGTTGCTTCAGAATATGATGAGAATGGGCCCCCCGTCTTGAACGAGCTGGAAGAGCACGTGAGTAACTGGGTTCTTATGTCAGGAAGGAGAGGAGCTTGGTGATGAGGACCAGACAGGCTTCACCATTTTGACCTCTTTCGTTGCACAGATTCCTCGCGTCCAGCGCACGGGTCGGGGAGGAAAGCCTGTCATAGACAAGAACATGGAGATTGTGTACGAGCCCGGTCTGATAGTCATTAAGGAGCTTCTCGATAGCAAGGATCCTGTTAAATACTTGGGTATTTAGTTTTATGTTTTGAATAATTGTACATGGTTGACATCTTTAAGTCCTCGTTCGCTAACTCTGGTTTTCTGTTTTTTTTATAGATAGCATGAATCCTGCTCAGGAACGTATATCAGGAACTTTGCCGCGAAAGAGAAGAAAGTGTTGAAGGATGCCCAAACCGGTTCGGAGACTGCTCCCATGTCAAGATCGGGAAATTCCTCCTCGTGTCGAGTTGTTGTCGCCCTCTCTCCCGCTCCTGTGTCCATGAAGGCGAAGAGGCCGTACATCGGGGGGAGTGTTGATCTGATCGAGGAAAAGGGAAAGAGAAGTATGACCTGCCCCTGCTGGCTGGAAAGGTCTTTCTTTGAGGGTGCCTCTCTTCAACTCCCCTGGGCCGAGTCTCTTCACCTCGAGGGGCTGGATCGCCGGAAGAAAAGGGTAGTGTTGGCGCATGATGTTGGCGGCCCGATGAGGATACTGGAGATGGTGGTCGCTTATACCGAGAGGAGTTCTTCTCTAGAGGCTAAGTTGAAGAAGCTACGGGCCAAGCTGTTCGCAGCCGAGAAGGGGAGATTGACGAGGAGAAGGCCCGGAAGCTGGCCGAGGAGGACTTGGGGAAGCTTTATGAGGAGTGCAGAGTCTGGTTGCTCGAAAAGAAGGCCCTGGAGGAGAGGTTGAGGATCCTGACTGCCAAGGTTATGCCTGCTGAAGGCGATCCGGAGGATACAAAGTATTTGAAGACTCGGGCCGAGTTGGTCTCCCGTTTCCAATTGGCGATGGATGACGCCCAGGCCGCCTCCGAGGGGAGCTTCGAGAACACGCTGAAGTAGTTGCGTCTATTGAATCATGGGGTCATGCTTAATACCTCTTGGATAGGGGTTAGTTATTATGTGGCTGGCAGAAAGATCCTTGTCCCAGACTACCTCGAAGAGCTCGTTGCCCAGCCCGCGATGAGACCCTCTCAACTATCGCCTGTTATTGAAGAAGGAACTGAAGAGTGATGTTTTGATAGTTTTCTCATTTTTCTCTGGCCTACGTGCCGCGATTTTGTAATCTTGTTTTCCGGGATTTTTCCCGTTTATGTAATTCTTGAACAGTTGTGGTCCTCGTGGTCACAAAGGTATTCCATTGGATGGGGGGCCAGGGGCCTTTCTTTTTGTAAAATTCATACAATAGCGGCCTTAATGGTCATTTTGTTTTAAATATTTGTGTTTGCATGTTTATCGTTATGCTTATCTACTTGAGACATATTTTATTTTGATAAGAGTTTATAGTGGGGACTTGCTCGTTTAATTTGTATGTTCGCCAGTGTGAGGAAACTGGACAAACAACCAGGGTGGATACTGGACATGGTCCAGATCTCAGGTCTCGTTTCGAGGACCTGAGCTCGGCGGGATGAACTTCTCGTTGCGAGTCGGGTGTTATACTGTCGAGGTACGAGGACGATGGAGCTAGATTTAGTTATCCATGTTGAGATGAGGACGCGCTCGTTAAAAGAGCGGGGTCTCGTCCCTTTAAAATATTTTGGGCGATATACTTTTACCTAGGAATGCACACGTTGTCGGGCCTGAATGAGTTTGTCTTTTTGATGAAACTCGCTGACTGCTTAGTGTTTTAACTATAATATTGTTTTAGCTTTTCAGTGTTCCATAGTCGAGTGAGTTGTCCCCCTTGTAGATTTTTTAAGTAGTATGCCCCAACCCTTATTTTTGCGTAGACACGGTAAGGGCATTCCCAGTTCACTGCGAGCTTGCCTTCGCGAGATTCTTTGCGATTTCTCTTCAAGACAAGGTTATCGACCTCGAACTCTCGTCATATGACTTTGGCGTCGTAGCGCATGGCTATTTTTTGTTTGAGAGAGGCCTCTCATAGGGCCGCTCCTATTTATATTTCTTTGACCATGTCTAATTCTTCCCAAAAGGTGACATCATTCATCTCCCCGTCTAGGGGAGCTTCGGTTCGCCTGGAGGGTTCTTCGTTCTCTATGAGGATGACAACTTATGTTTCATAAGTTAGTCAGAAAGGAGTCTCCCCGGTTTATGAGTGCGATGTTATTCGGTATC